GCAAAGTGGATCAAAGATCTAAACCTAAAACTGCAAACTATAAAACTACTGGTGGAAAACACTGGAGAAAATCTGGGAGACATTGAGGTAGGCAAAGACATCTTAAGCAAGACCCCCAAAGCACAGGCAATAATCCCCAAAATAGACAGGTGGGATTACATCAAAGTAAGGAGTTTCTGCATAGCAAAGGACACTGTGTAATTAGTGTGAATTGATAACCCTCGGAATGGGAGAGAATTTTTGTTAACTGTGCCTCAGATAGGAGACTGATAACCAGAATATACAGGGAACTCAAGCAGCTTACCCAGAAGAAAATTATTAACCCAATTAAAATATGGGAAAATGAACCAAAAAACCAACTCTCTAAGGAAGACATATGGACAGCCAAGAAGCATATGAAAAAATGCTCAACATCCCTCATTATAAGGGAGATACAGATCAAAACCACAATGAGATACCACCTAACCCCAGTCAGAATGACAATGCTTAAAAAAAAATTATAAGTGCTGGAGAGGATGTGGTGAAACGGGGGCACACTTATAATATTTTTGGAAATATAAATTGTTCCAACCACTACAGAGAACGATAAAAAGTTCCTCAAAGGCTTTCAAATAGAACTATCATATGATCCAGCTACTCCACTCCTGGGTATCTACCCAAAGTACAGGAGAGCACTCAGTCAGAAAAGTGCTTGTACAACTATTTTCATTGCAGCCTTATTCACAATTGCTAAGACATGGAACCAACCCAAATATCCACAAACTGATGAATGGATTGAAAAATTATGGCACATATACTCCATGGAATACTATTCAGCCATGAAAAACAAGGCTCTGGAATTTGATAGAAAGTGGACACATATGGAAGATTTGTTGCTGAGTGAAGCATCTCAGGCTATGAAAGACATTTTATGTTTCCACTTAACATGTACCAACTGTCCATACTCTATGGTAGTGACTGAAAAGACTGGAGAACGTAAAAGCATTAAATATTGTAATGGACACTAGAGACAAAGTGGGAAGAGAGCGTGGGCGGGGAATTGCATAAGAAAGAAAATTTGGAGGGAAAATGGAGAGGTAAGACACTTGTGGGACATAGATAAGGATTTTTAGCTGTTGTCGAGGATGTGTATGGTGGTCTCAACTGGGCTGGACTGAGGTCTATAAATGTGGGTAAAGTCTCTTCACAATCTAAATGATGTATAGCATTTTAATGTGAGAATAATAATTTAAAAATTAATTAAAAATAAAACAGCAATGCCACACTACTACACACTTTAAAAAGAAAAAGGAAGAATAAAAATAAAAATAAAGTTATCTATCAATATTTATGAACCTAGTAAGTGATAGGCTTTCAGTGATTCTCCATCAGCATGCTTCCAGTACTCATGATCCAAGCCAGGGTTCTCAACTGGATTGACTGTCTCCAAAGGAGATGTAATTATTTCTGGAGAAGGTTTTAGTTGTTACAACTTGCGGAGGTGGAGCTTGTACCTCAAAAGTTGAATCCAGGGATGGTGCTCAGCACCACATAGTGCACAGGACACCTCACAAAACAATTGCAGCACAAATGTCAACAGTGGGAGGATGAGACACACTCTCCTTGACCAGAATATCTCCAACTTCACTATGTTTAAACCTCTAATAAATAAATAAATAAATATAAAAGAAACGATTAAATTGATTATTGAGTAAATGCATTTTCATGTGCTGACAATTTTTTTTTTGGTAGAGGTTTTTTAACTTTAGGGCATGTGTGCTCACTGAAGAGAGAGACAGTGAGAGGGAAAGTGAGAAATCACCCCTCTCCCCTGGGAGATGGCCATATCACAATCCCTTTTCCTCCATTCTCTTCTTGGGATCTGACTCAAACCACAGTTGGCCATGTGGAAGTCCAGCAACATAACTGCTATGCCATCTGTTGTCCCAAAACATATTTTTTAAGGGAGGGATATTTGTCAGAACAATAGAAGGAATCATATCTGTAGGACATAATGGAATTTTTAGATCAGGCACAAGATGATACAGTGATATAATAAAGAATATGACACCAACTCCTTCATTCTAATTGATACACTTATGTATATAGACACCAATCTTCCACAGTGCAATGAATAGATGTACCCCATCAAATGAATTTTCCATAGCAATTCAATGTGTGATTGAAAATGTAATATTGGAAGCTAGTAAGTGGCATGGCGGTTAAGGCACTGGACTCCCACATGGCTGACTCAAGTTTGAGTATTGGACCTCGTGGCTTGCTTTCTCACTGTCTCTTTCTCTCTCTCTTTGTATCTTTCTGGTAAAATTTAAAAAATGATAATATAAATGAAATTGAATAATTTTTTTAAAAAAGAAACGCAATGTTGACTGAGGCAAGCCAGACTATGAAAGACAGACATTGTGTGTCCCCACTTAATATATACTGAATGTCTGTACTCTATGGTAGAGAATGAAAGATTGGAAGGTATAATTGCAGGGAAGATACCAGAGACAGTATATGAGTGTGTAGATCATTGATAGGAGGGAAGGTATTGGGGGGAATAAAGAGCAATTAACAGGGGACCTACAGATGATGCAATGGGTATGTTGCTGGACTCCTACATTTGAGTCTTGGACCTGGCAGCTTAAAACTCATATCAGGTGTGTGTGCATACAGACCCAAAATCCCAAGAGGAGAATGAGGAGAAGGAATTTTTCACTTTCTGTCTCTCTGACTCTGGTGAATGCACACGCCTTATAGCAAAAATCTTTCCAAAAAGGAAAAAGATATTAACAGACACACAAAAGAATTAAAAATTACTTGTTGATGATAATGTATATTAATATTGATGATAATGTATTTTATTTGACTTTCATACAATGCATTCTTACTGGGAAGAATCACATCATTTTGTATGCTGTATATATGTATGGTGATTTTTTTTAAAAAAGGAAATATTATTTTATCATATTTAAGATAATCTCTGATATGAAAGTCACATTAAATCAATTGATTTATACAAACATGTTTCTCTGTGTACACCACCTGAAACATAGATTCTATGAGCACTTCTCCTTCCCACTCTTTGCCAGAGAATAAAATAGGTATTCTGGATACTGAGATGGAAAGGTAACTGGAACCTAATGAGGAGAATAAAATGCCACAATTAGCTATAAAGCACACTATTCATTATCAGCAAGAGTAGTTAAGGTAGTTGCATAGAAAAGAAAAAGGATTGCAACAGTGAAAATCTGTACTCTCAGATATTCATCTACAATAAAATTAGACTAAAACTTTGTAGTTGTCAAGTGTACTTAGTTCCATAAGACTAATTTTTTTGAGAGGTTTTTGCTATAGGGCACATTTACTCTCCAGAAAGACAGAGAAAGACAGAGAAACAGAAAGTGAGAAATCATCCCCCAAGGGGGATGGCCATGCTACAATCCCTTCTCCTCCATACTCCTCTCGGGATCTTGAGCATGCACGCACACATACCTGTCATGAGTTTTAAACCACTGGATCTGGGACTCAAACCATGGGAGTCCAGCGACATAGCTGTTATGCCAACTGCTGGTCCCTGTTCCATAAGACTAATACAATTCACCACAACAAGGTTAAATTTCTCTTATTCTTAATGCTTGGGACCTAAAGCATTTCACATTTCAGAAATTATTGTCGATTTTTCCATATGTGGACATATATAATATGATATCTTTATCTAAACACAAAATTTAGTTATATTACATATACACATAATACACAAAGCCTGAAGATAATTTTATACAATCTTGCTTTATTACAGTGCTGTGGTGTTGGAGCCAGCTGTTGGCATAATGGCTATGTTGCTGGACTCTCATGTAGTTGCCCATGGTTCGAGTCCCAGACCTGGTGGCTTAAACTCATGCTGGGCATGTGTGCATTTGTGCTCAAGATCCAAAGAAGAGAATAGAAAAGAAGGGATTGCAACATGACCATCCCCCTGGGGGGTGATTTCTTGCTTTCTGTCTCTCTGTCTCTGGTGAGCACATGTGCCCTATATCAAAAACCTCTCAAAAAAAAAAAAAAGATACAATGCTGTGGTGTTTTTGTTTTGATTTGATTTGGTTTGATTTTGTTTTTGTGAGAGAGTTTTTCTACAGGGTACATGTGTTTGTCAGAGAGAAAAAAGTGAGGATGACCACACCACAATCCCTACTCCTCTATTTTTTCCCTTGGGATTCTAGACACACATACACATGTGCCTGGTATGAGTTTTCACCAGGTCTGGGACTCAAACTGTAGTCAACCATGTGGGAGTCCAGCACCTCAAACTCTATACTACCTGCTGCCCCCAGCTGTATTACTCTGTTTTGACTGATTCATCACATGAGAGCAGGTGTAGAATTTTTTGTTTGTAACTTCAAGTCAGTGCTCAAAATTTTCAGATTCTGGAGCATTTTGAATTTCAGAATTTCAAAAAGAAGGATATTCAACTTGTGTGAGACAAATGGAAAAGTTTACATTGTTTCTTTTATAAAAAATAATTTTTTGGAGAGATTTTTGCTATAAGACACATATGCTTACTGGAGAGGCAGAGAGACAGAAAGTGAGAAACCATTGCCCATGGGGAATGACCACACCACATCCTCTTTTCCTCCATTCTCTTCTCAGGGTTTTGGACATGCATGCATACATGACTGCTGTGAGTTTCAAGACTCTGGTTCTGGGACTTGAACCATGGTCGACCATGTGGGAGTCTAGTGTCTTAAACACTACAACACTTGTTGGCTCTCAAATTGTTTCCAATGCTAGCTTGGGAATAAACATTGAAAAACAGTGAAATGATAAAGACAGACATTGTTTGACATCAGGTAGCAGGAAGATTTATTGAAAAAATAATAACTAAAGTATTATAAATAGCCAAGACAAAATTTAAACTCTGGTAAATAAAGAGATTTAGCAAATTTTATATCTACAATATGATTCAAGAAGCACAACCTTTGGTTCTGAGGTTTAGAAGCCTGCAATCACATGCACTCTTAAAAAATGGCCCTTTTTAATTTATTCCATCTGAGGGATATTTTCAGGGCTCTCTTTATATCTTTGTTTCTCAGACTGTAGATGAAAGGGTTCAACATGGGTGTGACCACAGTGTACATCACCGAGGCTGTTGCACTTGAGTGTGAGCTGTGAGCACTAGCACTAAGATACACACCTAGGCTTGTACAATAAAATAAGGAGACAACCAAGAGGTGAGAGGCACAGGTGGAAAATGCTTTATACTTTCCCTGAGATGATGAGATTGCACGTATGGAGGATACTATCTTAGAGTAAGAGTAAAGGATCCCAGTGAGAGGACCACCACCAAGCAGCCCAGCTACAAAATACATCATTATGTCATTAATAAAAGTGTCAGAACAGGCAAGGTGGACCACTTGATTAATTTCACAGAAAAAGTGGGGTATTTCTACCTGTGTACAGAAGGACAGCTGCCACACCATTAAACTTTGTAACAAGGAATTCAGGACACTCAGGATCCAGGATGCCAGAACCAGCAACACACAGAGCCAAAAGTGCATCATGATGGTGTAGTGCAGAGGGTGACAGATGGCAACATATCGGTCATAGGCCATCACAGTCAGGAGACAGTCATCCAACACTACAAAGAGGTTGAAAAAGTTCATCTGGGTTATGCAGCCTGCATAGCTGATGACCTTGCTCTGTGTCTGGAGGTTCACCAGCATCTTTGGGACAATAGTGGAGGTGAGACAGATGTCTACAAAGGACAGGTTGGAGAGGAAGAAGTACATAGGGGTGTGCAAGTGGGAATCTGTGATGGTAGCCAGGATGATGAGCAGGTTTCCAAACACTGTGATCAGGTACATAGAGAGAAAAAGCCCAAATATGAGGGGCTGCAGTCTGGGTTCCTCTGAAAATCCTAATAGAAGAAATCCTGAAATTTGTGTATTATTCCCTGGTTCCATTTGCTTGATGTGCCCACCAACAAACAAACAAACAAACAAAACAAAAAAAAATAAGAATATGACACAAGCATGCATTACTCGTCAGAAATGCTACCACTTGCATTCTTTATTTAAGAACTTAATTTCTGTAATTTGTGTGTGAACCTAGTTCCCCTTAAGACATCCCTTTATCATTCCTAATTAAGAATTTCTGTTCTAGGATCAGTTTTTTTTCCTTTATTTTACAGGATTTTTTTCAATATTTTTAAAAAAAATTTATGATTTGTTACTTACATTCAGTCATTGGACATCTATATATCACACTATATGTTTTTCAGGTTATACATGAATTATGTATTAAATCAAGAATATTACCATAAGCATCATTTTAAACAGAAACTTTGCAATCTTGTAAGGGTTACCCCCTACCCAAGACCCTCCCACCTACATTCTACCATCTACTCCTGTCATTCGACTTAAAGTGGATGAATACAGAAGTTTGAATGCTAAGCAAAGGAAGTCACACTGTGGAAGACACACACTGTATATCCTCACTCAATATACACCAAATGTCTGCCCTATATGGCGGAAATTAAATCATCCAAAAATGTAACAGTAGGGAGGACAAGTATAGATATTAGAGACTGTATGTGAGGGGGATGGATAGTATAGGGTGGATGGGGGACTCAGAGAAGAAATATGTAACAGACTTAAAAATATAAAGTTCTCTTTTGAAAATGATTTTTATGGTGATACCCTTTATTTGATTGTCATGTACTGCATGCATACTTTGGAAAATGATATTGTGTGCTATAGAGATATACAATTAAATGTTAATAAGAAATCATACAATGAAAAAAAAAAGGCATTCAGGAAAGATGATATTAGGGATAATAAACAAAAGTGGCCTGGTTGCTGCTGAAACTTGAAAGCACAGGGACTTTCTCTGTCCAGACATTGTTGCATCTTCACTTTATTGAATTGGCTACTGAGGTGTCCTATACCTTGAAAAGTATCTCCTCTATTTCTTTATGTTGCCTTGACGTCTGGTCTTATATTATTAGTCTCCTTTTGGAGTAGATTAAGTCCAAGTCTCCTTACTCTGAAACAAGTACTCAATTTAACGGCACACATACACACAAACACAAACACAAGCGCAACATACCATTGCCTCTTCGGACCATCTTAATGCCATCCTCTTCTCATCCCAAGTCAAAATGTTTAAAAGGAATGCATATCAGGAGATCATCAATATCAAATTATCTTTCATTGAATATAGAAATGGGACCCAAAAGTTCTGGTTTGGAATTCTCTCATACATGTAACCTTGTGGATCCTTTTTAGACCTATGTTTAAAGAAACATTTATTTTTAAATTTGCTCAATAAACAGACAGGAATTAATTGGATCTGAAAGGGGAAAAAGATCTAGCAAGCTCAAGTGGTCCCCAAGAAACTTTAAAAAAAGAAAAATATTACTTTTCTTTGGAAGACATTCTAACTCCTGTTATATTCCCTCGAGGCCCAAAAGAAATAATAAAAGGCAATTATATTTGTACCAAGCAACAAAAGTAATGACATATTTCTGGTATCAAAGCACTCACAGATTGAGCATCACAATAGGGAAAAAAGAGCAAATGGAATAAACCAACTATTCAAAAGATATGTATACAGGAGCCTGCAGGTGGCATAACGGTTATAGCACTGGACTCCCACATGGCCAACAGTGGCTTGAGTCCTGGACTCGGTGACTTGAACATCACACTGGGTGCATGTGTGTGCATGCCCAAAATCCCAGGGAGAGAAGGGAGGAGAAAGTACTTCAGCATGACCATTCCTCCTGCGGGGAGTGATTTCTCATTTTCCCTCTCACTGTTCCTCTGTAGAGAGTGCACACACCCTATGGCAAAAACCTTAAAATACATACATATACACATACAAAGAGTCACAATATTTGGGCGTGTTTTACATGAAATGGTAGAAAACTTGTTTTCCCTATACCTGTTCCAAGTTTATCTGACCAATAGATTTGTGTATAGTCTGATAGTAAATGAGAAAGATCCCTTTTTCACACTTCTGTGTGACATCTATGCTTTTTCATTCTCAGGCTTTTGGGTTTGATATATTTGACAAATCCAATGTGTGAAAATAAGTTGGACACATTATAGTCAGACTGACCAAAACCACAGACAAAGACAAAATATTAAGATTGGCAAGAGAAAAATGGCAAGTTACCTACAAAGGATATCCCATCAGACTAACAGCAGACCTCTCATCGGCAACAATGCGAGCTGGGAAAGAATGGGAAAATATATTCAAAGTGCTAAGGGAAAAGCAATTTCAACCGAGAATACTGAACCCAGCAAGATTATCATTCAATTGGGAAGAAAAGACACAAACATTCCCAGATAGACAAAACCTGAAAGAATTTACCAGCACCAGACAAGATCTCCAAGAAGTTCTTAAGGGAGTGCTATGGCAATAAAATTAAATGTGGACACACAGAAATAAGAGTTCAAAAACGAAGAAAATGGGCAACTTAATTGTAGGGACAATGTCTGGAGATGAATATTATATCCCAGAATTCAATCTGGAAGATCAAACCACAACAGAAGAAAGATTAAGTACGTGAGACTGAACTGATGAAACAGCATTCTGTGACTTGACTAAAATATTGCTGCTTTTCTTCTAAGCTTTGTTGTCCTATTTTAAAGGATTTTTGTCCTGTCTTGATCTGTCAATAGGTTCATGTAGCTACAATTTGAACAGAATACTGACCTGTTTCTAGGCTTTAAGTTTCAAGGAAATACCGTTACCAGTTCAAAACTGATTTTCTTGAAATTACCAGCTGAACTTGCTATTGAAAGTAGTTAGATTACTTATGATATTGTGTGATCAACAAAATGTTTGGGGAAAAGGAATAGAAGACAACTGTATATAGCAGAGATAGTGTAATAAGAGAGTGGGAAAGGGCAGAGGGTCAAACATAGGTTAAAAAACATATATATACATATACATATATATGAAAGTAGAAATGGAATATTATTGATAACATGCATGATTAAACCACTATGTAGTTTATTCTAGATGGGAAATCACATTTAGTATGTTGTGATTATGCTCAGAGAATAAATGTTAAGCAATTTAAAAAAGTTTCAAGAGATAAAAACCAGTAAAACTCTTCTTATCGAAATTAAAAAATGCATATTTGATGACTGCAGTAAGCTATATAACCCCAGCTAGGTACTACTTTATAGTATGTTCATTCTACTCACTGAGGTTTATGCATAAAGTCAGACTTGGTTTCATGTATAGGTATATATCAGCTGTGCTTGCTATTGGAAATATTTAGACTAATTAAATTCATTAGCAAATCAATTAAATGAGGGGGGGGAAGGCATAGAAAGCAACCATGGATACCAGAGACAATGTGGGAGGAGGGTGGGACATGGCAGAGGGTGAGGGATAGGGAATCAAGGATGGCATAAAAACCACACAAAAAAAGTATATAAGACATAAGAAATCAAAAATTATTTTCTGATAACATGTATGTTGATGTACTTGATTGAGCCAATATACATTGTATTTTGGATGGAAAATTCATTTACATGTTGTAATAATGTATAGTGAATTAATGTAAAAATAAATAAATTAAAAAAAGAATTTTCTACATTTGTAAAGCAATGACAGGGACCAACATAACTGATGGCTGATGTGGCTAAGTAAAATTTGTAAACTCTCCAACTTATTTCTTTCCAAATTCACAAATAATTACACCAAAGAACTAAATGCCAAACATCAAAATTTCTTATGTTTTGAAGAATGCAATAAAAAATTAAATTAAAACTCCTTAAACTTTTGTCCAGTTGGTAGAGTAGTGGTTAAGACAGCTGGATCTCTCATGACTGATTGTGTGGTTAAAGTCCCAGACTCAGCAGCTTGTGTCTGCACTCTATGACTGAAACTGATTGACCTAAGGTTGTACAAACACAAGAGATGGGGGTTAGTGCCAGATGTAGTGTGTGTGGAGAAGTGGGACCTAAGGAAGGACATTTGGAGGAGGGATACAGAGGTACAGCATTGATGCGATGGGGAGGTGTGGTTGAAGATATATATATATTTTTTTTGAGAGGTTTTTGCTATAGGGTGCGTGTGCTTGCCAGCCAGCCAGAGAAAGACAGAGAGGTAGAAAGCAAGAAATCTCCCCCCAGGGGGCATGGCCATGCCACAATCCCTTCTCCTCCATTCTCTTCTTGGGATCTTGGGCTCGCATGCACATGTGCCTGGCGTGAGTTTAAACCACTGGGTCTGGGACTCGAACCACGGTCGACTACATGGGAGTCCAGCGACATAGCCATTACGCTAACTGCTGGTCTCAGTTGAAGATATTTTGATCAACTGGACTTGAGAGAAAGGTTCACATATTGAAATGTTCACTTTGTAAGCTAAATAATGTGATTGAATGTATGTAAAACCTTTTTTTAAAAAAAGAACAACAACAACAACAAAAAACTCAAAAAAACCAAACAAAAACAAACTATGGGACCAAGTATGTGGTATGTCCATTCACTATAGGAAGTGCTTCCTCACTTTCCTCCTCTCTCTGTTACTTTCTCTCTGATGAGCACACATGCCCTTCAGCAAATTAAAAACAAACAGAAGCCTACAGGTGGTATAGTGGTTAAGGCACTAGATTGCCACATGGTCAACCATAGATTCAGTCCCAGACCCAGCAACTTGAAACTCACACCAGGTGCATGTGTATATGTGCCCAAAATCCTGAGAGGAAAATGGAAGAGAAGGGACTGCAGTTGGGTCAACCCCCTGGGGGGGTGATTTTTAACCTTCTTTCTCTCTGTCTCTCTCTGTCTTTATAGTGAGTACATTTGCACGTGTCCTCTATAGCAAAAAATCTCTCAAAACAAACAAAAATATTCAAACCCACTATACCAAAGAAGAGAACTAGCACAGACTATTTGCCATAGAGTGGCAAAGAACCGATGCACAAATACATTTAGCCTCA